CAACTCATCTCCCGTGCAACACATTTATTTATGTAAAGAATGAGTCTTTTACATCTTATTTATGAACCATAAAATATGAGAATCCATAGAATTATGAAATATCAATCTGATGGAACTTTGACTATTTTTACTAGAAGATCGGAACTTTGTATTGCAGGGATTAAGCGACACTTCGTATTCACTCCAAGGAAAGAGAGAGTCAGGTTTAAACTAGTTAAGAAATGTATTTCTACACAATTTAAACAAGACTAACTTAAACACTCTGTGTACCGATGGACTACGGTCACGGCCAGATTAACACTTTGTTGTACCCTGGGCAACAATATTCAAGGGCCCCATCATCACGACCCAAGGATCACCATAATATGGTCACATACAGAATATTTTACTGTACTATGCAGTAAATATACTCAATACTTGAATGCCTGACATCACGTAACCCGCTCAGGGTAACCTTTGACCCACCTCATGTGGACTGACCAATGAGGAGGGGGTCTTAACTTGAGGCCCTCTCTTCATTGGTCAGTCTGCATGAGACTGACTCTCAACTGACGTTCAAAATCATAGGCAGCGAAGCGTCTCTGTGCAGCGCAAAAGCCCGGGTAGACAGTTTGTTTAATATAGGGTGATCATATTTCCATTTCCAAAAAAGAGGACAAGGGATCTGTGCCTATGACGTCACCAGTGGCGGCTGGCCAGTAGAGGGCGATAGGGCACCGCCCTCCCAGTTTCCCCACTGTTTTTAATTTTTATTTAAAAAAATAAATAAATAAAATTAATAATCACATATTCTAAGTTAATTGTGTGTTTTGTAACAAAAATAAATCATATATATATATATATATATCAATATATTGGTCTCTGCCGGTCTCTGCCGATCTCTGCCGAGCGGTGGAGGCTGTGTGCTGTTTTTCAATCGCCCAAACAGGACGAGACCAGCTGTCCAATTGCTGACAAGAAAATCAAAGGGTAGGAATGGGAATGTATCCAATCAGTGTCGACGTTGTTTCAGAACGTTTCAGAAGCATGATGGGCGATAGAGCTACCGCCAAGGCTTTTGTTGGTGTTCGGTAGAACTCGGAGAGTCTCGACTCCAGCACGTTTTTGGTCGTGACTCGTGACGCATATGGAGCAGACGCAGACATGGACGCCAGTGAGCCTACAACCAGGATACCGGATCTCAGCAGCCACTGAATTCAGTTCGGTCTCTTCTCCAGTATCCGTTCGAGAGGAGAACTATGGTGGAAAAACTTAATGTCAAAGAGCTTGGACCAGATCAGCCCGACGTAAAGATAAGCCAGCAGGACAAGGAGAAGGGTAAACTGTACACACGACGCTTCTCCCAAAATTGGTACACCAGGAAGCAGTGGCTAGCTGGATGCAATCACGCTAATGCGTTATTTTGCTTTCTGTGTTTGTTATTCAATGTCTCATTGGGGACTCCATTCATTCTCTGACTGAGGAATGCAGCGCATCAGTGCAGCAGCCAACAAAGAAACGGAGGACGTTTGGACAAGGAGAACAGCAGCTGGGTGCAGAGGTAAGCTGTACATTACATTTCTGTAAACAAGACAATCAGAATCAGAAATCCTTGGTTGTCCCACAAACCGGGACATTTGTTTAATAACATGTACATTGTTTAATGTGCAATAACTGTAAAAACTAATTTCAACACACATACCTATTATACATATTTAATCATGTAAATGTGTATTTCAAGTAAATTTGTACATACATCAATCTGATTCCATTTTACTTGTTACACTTCTGCTGCAGCAAACAAATTTCCCAGCTTTTGGGACAATAAAACATTTCTGATTTGTCCCAAAAAGTGGGAAATATGACATTTGTAAGAGGATACTGATGACATTATTTCCTATGAAAGTGTTTCCACTTTCCATAAGTCCTAACAGTGTAAATTTCTGGCATTTTGTCTAAGTAGTGTTTACTACCATTACTGTAACAGTGACCTGCTCATAATTTTTCGTGTTCACTCAAATGTTGAAATTAAACAAAATGTTTTTGTTACTTGCCTCTTGCATTGCCTATTTACCATTTATGGTCATGTTATTTTATGTGCAATTTAATGCAGTATTTTTCAACCTTGGTCCGCAAGGCAGTTTGCCAATAGTCAGACACACCTGGATTAATCAGTTTGTCCAATGATGTAAGACAGGAAATAAAAGAGCTGTGCTTAATTCAGGAAATAGTGAAGTTGTGCACAAAGCTCAGAAAGCACAAGTTTGTTTAAACAAAAAAATAGCACAGCCCCACCAAAAATATTTTTCACCAGCCGCCACTGGACGTCACACTATGGCAACGCCACACAAACCACGTTGGGACCCATTTTTTTGTAAGAACTAAATTAATATCAGATTCTGCCAATAAAAGGGCTCTAAAACAATTCATATGTAAATATTTAGCATATTTATTGCTTAATCTCATTTTTCTGCTTTAGTGCTGCAACAAGGTTTTATTAATAATAAATTATTATACCTTTTGTTTTACTGCAGCATCGGTACAATTCCTGTGCAAAGATTATTAAGGATGCTTATTTAAGCTGTGAAATTAGACGATAGGATCAATGAAAAAATAAGTTGAAACTTTCAGAGAATCCACAAATAGTGGCTTTCAAATGGTTTTGTTACTTTTTGCAAGTTTAGAAAAGAAGCAGATGAGACAGCATGTCTGATAATTTAGTTTTTCATCTGATAACATGTCAGCGATGTCTGAGGAGCTTTCATAAACACTGTATAACTAATACTCCTGGAGAGGGTATGGATTACACAGAGGCTTCTGGGGAGCCCAGTTGAAGGTGATCTGAATTGTATCAGATGTATAAATATGACATGTGTATAACTTACTGTTTTATACAGGTAAAAACGTGTAGTGGAGATAAATCTACCTACATTTTACTTTTCAACACGTTGTTTTGTTTTCTTGTTTTTATTTAACTATTTCCTGTCCTGTCTGTCTCTCATCTTCCTGCATCTCCTCTAAACTCTCCAGAAAAACCGCTGCCTGGATTCTTACTTTTTCACCTCATCAGTTCCTTCTGAGCAGATCAAAGATCTCCTGACCGCAAAGCGGAGTGCGCATTTCGATGCTGCGTCAGTGAGGTGAAATCTCCGCAGTGCAGGTGATGAGCTCCGCAGTAGCAGAGCGCTTCAGGCACAAATGAGACAGAAAGTAGAGAACATGTGCGGACATGAACGATCGTGTGCTAATTATAGTTTTTTGGTTGTGCCACTTTGAGAATGGACCGTGCGCTGGACCCAGCAGCCTGGATCGCTGCGCAACAACGAACAGCGCTGTGCCGCTCTGCTGAAAAGAGTCCATAAATGATGTAATATAGGTAGAAAACTTTTTTCCGGCTCCCCTGGATGTGTAGGATATCCAGCTCCCCCATAATTCGATCCCTGCTCCTGGATGAAAAGCCGGAAATTTTCATCAATACAAGAACCCCCAGTCCAGACGCCCCGGACAGAGAGTGAAAAGCGGACATGTCCGGGGAAAACTGGACATATGGTCACCGTAGTTTAACATAAAGCAGGAGATTACAGATACAGTATTTTGCTCGTGCCCTTGCTGCCCTGGTCCCTTTAGAGTTTGTGGGCCCTGGGCAAGTGCCCAGTTGCCCATATGGTTAATCCGGCCTTGACTACGGTGGAGTGAGACGTGAAATGATGGTGGTGTGTGTGTGTGTTATTATCAGAACCAGCGGATCCAGAGAAGCAGTTAGTTCTGAGTGGGAGTGAATGTTTCACTCTAAACTTTAGTAGATTTATAACACACATGAAACGCCATCTGTTGGTCTACATACCCAGGGGAAGCCTTCGTTCAGATCCAGAATGCCGAGGTCCTCGTGGACCCTCTTTGGTACCGAAGCCGGTAGAAAAGCAGCGGTGCCGACCAATCTAGTCTTCGAATGCTTCCAGGTCACGACAGGTTATCACTGGCGTCTCCGAGACCCTGAAGGGGTCGTGAGGTTCAGCTTTTATTCTGAAGGAACCGTTGCGGTCAGGTGTAACTTGCAACAGATTTTATCTAGCTTGTCTGAGGTTCTTAATGGCTGAAGAGGGAGTCTGGATGGCCTGTCCGAGACTCCTCTCGAATGCTTGAACTAAAGAAAAGGTGGCGTGGGACAGTTTTCATAATTGTCGTATTTTGGTTTACTGGCGAATCAGAATTTGACATGCCAAAAGAGAGACACATTTGTACTTTAAACAGTATCAAATACAGAAATGTTTCTTCTTATACCTGATCTTTTCTCACATTTGATATTTAGTGTTTATCCACATGCATCACTCATACACCTTAACAGGAACCAAACAATTGTTCTTGCTGTGTAAACAAATATAATGACCTTACTTTCAGTTTTATAGTGCTTTTAAACTACTGTTTTTAACCATTTTGCATCCTATTTATTCATTACTGTTATGAACTGTATTTATCTATTTAAATCAACTTTGTTAAATGCATTTTCAACCCATTTCCATCCTATTTAGGCTTACTGAGACACACAAAACATTGTATATTTCTCCAGACTTTTCCTGAAAACACACAGTCCAGTTTTGTTCTACAGACAACTTAATGTATGGTACAAAATCCCATTAAAACATAAAATACAGGATTAGCACCTTCCTAGAACTCCTCCATGTGCTACCTAGCTCACCCTGATTCTGGTTTTAGCTTAGCATTACAGCTTACACCAACCGCTCTTAATAATGCACTTATAATCCAGTCCATATGGGCTCTAGCCACACACTAGTGTTTACTGCGGTCCTGAACATTTTCCCGTGACTCACGTACCTCATTTCTACCTCTAAACCTATTAACCCGTTCTGAGTTTTCCCGCTCCGGACTACATTTTATTCCCACGAAAAGGAAAAATACTTTTACAGACACCTAGAGGACGTTTTTACGGTTCATCTTAGCAAAAGTTACTCTCTATCACTAATGTTTACTATTGCTCCTTTACAGTTTATAACCCAGCTTACCTGCAGAAACAGAGGACAACAAAGTTAACCGGAGCTACTCGGTGCGCAGCAGGAGATTCCGGTGCACCACCTTTTCTCTTCCTTGGCCATTTTTCAGGACTGATTCGTCATCTGTTTTTCTCTCCTTCACCTTGCAAACTTGGCTCTCCCAGTAGGATTGGAGTTTTGCTGGTCCACCTCTCGTTTTGAGATTCCGGAGGAGAACTCTGTCATCAGGCTGATGGTCTCTTCCTTTAACTCTCCTGTCAAAGTATGCTTTCCCTCGAGCAGCTTCCTTCATAGCTGTGTGAGAAGCAACTGTGTAGGCCTCCTGCATTCTCTTTTTCCACTTGCTAACATAGTCCTTGTAGTCCACGTGAGCTTCATCGTTTTTAAGGTCGAAGAGCAGGTCGACGGGCAAATGTGGAGAATACCCAAAGATGAGGTAATATGGGGCAAAGCCTGTTGCCTCGCTCTTTGTACAGTTGTATGCATGAACAACTTTAGTCAGTGACCCATTCCAATCATCCTTATCCTTGTCCTCCATGGTCCACAGCATGGACAGCAGGGTTCGGTTGAATCTGTCCACCTGTCCATTGCCCTGTGGGTGGTATGGTGTTGTGTGGGAACCCTGGATCCCTGAGAGTTCTTTTAATCTTGTCATGAGCTTGGCATAGGCTTGGGCAAACCTTGTGAAATGATCCATGATCACCAATATGTACTGATAGCCATGCTTACACTTTTCTAAGAGAAGAAAGTCTATGGAACCCAGCTGGAATGGGTAAGTGGACTGGGTCTAGGGTCAGAGGTGCGCAGCTCCGCTTGTGTGGCTTCTTCTTCCTTAGACACTCACATTCTTCTGTAACTGTGTGCATTTTCTGTTATTTTTAAAGAAGGAGTCGAAGACGGAGTTCTCAGCCAGACAGCGTGGTCTTTTTATTTATTCATCTGCTCACAGCTTTCAGGACAGCCAAAAGACCAAAGACCAAGTGTGGAGTCCTAAATTTATACTGATCCCTGGCGTTACTCCCACAGTCCTTTGACTTTGGACAGAGGTTGGGGTGTTTTCACTTCCCAATATGGTCAACGCGCCCTCCAGCCCAGAGGTCGACGCGCCCTGTTATCTCTATTTTATCTCTATTACCCAATACAGTCCGAGAACTCAAGGTTTATTGGAAGTTACATAAGTTGGACTGGAAAACAGGATGGTGAACTTTTGGCCCACAATGATGAAAAACAGCATGTTGAACCTCACGTACACAGCTTTTGGCTCCTACAGATCCCCCCCATGGGGGTGTACACCCCCATAAACAAGCTGGCTAAATAACACATGATATAACAGAATACATATAACATAAATGAATATCATCATACACCAGTAAATGGTTGTTAAGTGACTAAATGTCAAACACCATGCAATCTCTAACCAAACTACATAGGAAAATATGTAATGACGAAATAACTATAAACCAACACCGGGATGAGTACACAGACACGAAGCAGGTAATAGCTGAAAGATACAACATGGAATGAGACGTCTGTAACCAATTCATCAATACATCAAAATGCATGCACACTGAAACAGCTTTTGGCACAGCAGGGTTCGGTTGAATCTCTCCACCTGTCCATTGCCCTGTGGGTGGTATGGTGTTGTGTGGGAACCCTGGATCCCTGAGAGTTCTTTTAATCTTGTCATGAGCTTGACATAGGCCTGGGCAAACCTTGTGAAATGATCCATGATCACCAATATGTACTGATAGCCATGCTTACACTTTTCTAAGAGAAGAAAGTCTATGGAACCCAGCTGGAATGGGTAAGTGGACTGGGTCGAGGTCAGAGGTGCGCAGCTCCGCTTGTGTGGCTTCTTCTTCCTTAGACACTCACATTCTTCTGTAACTGTGTGCATTTTCTGTTATTTTTAAAGAAGGAGTCGAAGACGGAGTTCTCAGCCAGACAGCGTGGTCTTTTTATTTATTCATCTGCTTCCTGAGCTCTGCGGATCTGGTCTGGTGTAAGAGGCTGGGCAGTGTCAGAGTCTTTAATCAGTTTAAGAGCACTAACCTGGATAACTCCAACTCCATGACATGGGTCTCTCCGCTCTATCGTTACTGACTCCATGGAGGCACTTATGACTTCCTGTCCAACTTCCGCTGTACAGCTCTCCATGTAGCTGTCGATGTCCAGCGGCATTCGTGACAGGCCATCAGCGTCGGCGTGGGTCTTTCCTGGACGTTAACGGATGGTGAAGTTGTAGCTGGCCAGCTCGGTAACCCATCTGTGACCTGTGGCATTGAGCTTTGCGGTAGTGAGCACATATGTTAGTGGGTTGTTATCTGTGTACACAGTGAACGATGGGGCATGGTACAGATAATCCCGAAAACGTTCACAAATGGCCCACTTCATTGCCAGAAACTCCAGTTTGCCAGAGTGCAGGTGGTACTTTTTCTCTGCTGGACTCAGGGGGCGGGAACCATATGCTATGACTCATCTTGCCCTGCTGCCGCTGATATAGAACAGTACCTAGACCAACTTGTGATGCATCACAGTGTAACACAAAGGGTTCAGTGAAGTCGGGATAACCAAGGACAGGAGGTCTGGTTAGAACATCCACAAGCTGGTCTAATGTTGATTGGTGAGAGCTAGTCCACTGAATGGGCTTGCGAGATGGTAAGTGGCCTTTACTTTTCTTTAACCCTTTGTTTGGCTGGTCTGCTGAAACTGGGACAGACTTTTCAGTAGGCGGAGGATTAAGCAGGCAATAGAGTGGGTGGGCTACACAGGAGAAGTTGGGGATAAATGGCCTATGATAAGAGAGGAAACCAAGAATTTGATGTACCTCTCCCACCGTTGCAGGTGTTTTCTCCTTTATGGCCATAATTGGAGCCAACTCTGCTGGATCCATAGTGTAGCCTTCGCCTGTCACCAGCTTGCCCAGAAACCTGATACTGCATTTAAACAGTTCACATTTCTTAGGGGTTAGTTTAACACTGTGCTCTTTGTAACACTGGAGGACAAGGTGGGTGTGTTCTGGGTGTTCATCAAAGTTCCTGCTGTGTACCAGGTTGTCGTCCAGGTACGGGAGGCAAATGGTATCTCTGAGGCCTGCCAGACAGTGTTCCATACTCCTCTGGAATTCTGTAGGCGCAGAGCTCAGGCCAAAAGGAATGCATGTCCACTGGTAGAGCCCCCAAGGGGTGAAGAAGGCGGTGAAAGTTTGGCTTTCTTCATCCAAGAATCCTTGGTGGTACGCCTTACCCTGGTCTAGAACTGAAAACCATGAGCTTCCACCCAGTGCATCTAACATGTCCTGAGTTCTTGGTATTGGATGGCGGTCTGGGACAGATTTGCCATTGAGCTCTCTAAAATCACAACAAAGACGAAGAGAACCATCTTTCTTGCGGATGCACACCACGGGAGATGACTAGGGTGATTGTGATGGTGTTATCCAACTTTTGTTGAGCAGTTCTTGCAAAAACTCTTGTACTTCGTTGTGAAGAAGTTTTGGTACCGACATGTAGATCTTTTTAACAGGATTCTTGACATGAAGGGTAATATGCATTTTTAGGAAAGGAATGCAGCCCACATTGTCATCACTGTCAAATGCAAATGCCTCACATTCCTCTCACAGCATCTTCCTCACAGCTGCTTGTTGACTTTCGGTCAAGTGTTGGAGGTCCACTGGTGGATCACATGACTTTGGTCTCTGTTGCTGAGCTTCTTGTGTCAGTCACTTAAGATTGAGCGACTTTGACACTGCATCCTTCTTCTTCTTGAGTCAGCTACTTTTGTCTGCATCCCTGCAGCATAAACAGTCTTTATTGGCTCAAGATGTCCAAGCACTTTACAGCTGTCTAGCAGAATGGTGTGGCCTGTGGTGTTAACAACTGGAATGGGTACGTACGGCACTTTTCTGTTTGGGATCTGCACCAGTGCATCACTGAACACTACGCCCTGTGTTGGTGGGTCAGCAACATTAGATTGAAAGAGCATGTCCTGTCCCCGAGCATGTGGACTAATGTGTGCCCGTACATGAACTGTGGTGACTTGATTCACTGCAGAGGTTCCAGTGGAGCATTCCTAGACCAAACTTTGCAAAGCAAGAATTTGGTCTAGTTCACTAGGCTACTACTTAAGCATATGGGTTTAAAATACTTAATAGCTTATCATGGCCTGTAGACAAAGGTCTAAAATTAGGACAGAGTAATACAAAATGCATACTTGATAAAAAAAACAATATAAAACGAACCACTTGAGTCTATCACCTTATTGGATAGGATATGAACCTTTTAATAATTTTATTAACTAATTTCCATTTTATTAAACTGCACTAGTTCCCATGAGAACAAGGCCCCTGGTCGGGGCTCTTTGTGGACAAATTAGTTATTTAGTCGCTCCCCACCACCACTATTTTACAAAGATGCAAAAAATAAAAAACGAGTGAGTTTATCTGATGGCATACAGACTTCTGGAGAATAACATCAAGCACTATCAACCAACTCACTGAGCTGCAGTATTTCTGTGGTCAGGTCTCTCTCCGAGTCCGCTCCACAAGCGGTCAGCCCACACAGCAGCCAGGCGCCGAAGCGGTCAGAGATGCGCCGGGCTGACCGCTGGCGAGAACCGGGTGGAAGAATGGAACACAGAAGTGTCCCTCTAAGAGCTCAGTCACATTTCAACCCATTTTTATGTTAAATGCACTGGGTTTTACCTTGGTGTTACCCATCGACATATACCCTATTAATTATTTTACCATATATTACATCTAAATTTCATGGTTAAACAGTACATGTTAAAATGATAGTTAGCTAGCTACTTTGATAAGCTCAGCTAGTCAGTGGCGGCTGGTGAAAAATATTTTTGGTGGGGCTGTGCTATTTTTTATTTTAAACAAACTTGTGCTTTCTGAGCTTTGTGCACAACTCCACTATTTCCTGAATTAAGCACAGCTCTTTTATTTCCTGTCTTACATCACTGGACAAACTGATTAATCCAGGTGTGTCTGACTTTTGGCACGCTGCCTTGCAGACCAAGGTTGAAAAATACTGCATTAAATTGCACATAAAATAACATGATCATAAATGGTAAATAGGCAATGCAAGAGGCAAGTAACAAAAACATTTTGTTTAATTTCAACATTTGAGTGAACACGAAAAATTATGAGCTGGTCACTGTTACAGTAATGGTAGTAAACACTGCTTACACCAGGGGTGTCAAACTCATTTCAGCTCAGGGGCCACATTGAGGGAAATCTAGTCCCAAGTGGGCCGGACCGGTAAATTAAATAGAAAACTTCAGATTGTTTTCTTTGTTTTAATACAATCAATATAAAACAAGGCTGGAGCCTGAGGACAGTGTAGTACAAGTACAACACCTGAAGTGTACTTGAAAATTAGAAAAACATAAAAAAAATCAATTAAAAAAAACATTCCTTAGTGATTCAAAGAGCTTACATATCACATGGCTAGATCAGTTTCATGCAACGCTTAAAGTATATTTGACTCATATTACTTAAAGGCACAGTCCGCAGGATGACGCAGTCAGGGTGAGGAGGAGGAGATTTTTAAATTCGAACGGCTGTTGCTCACTCCCCCGCCCTTCCTGAAAGAGCCGAAAGCCACGCCTCCCAATGTGCACGCGCAGGAAAAGCAGAGTCAACATCGGAGCATTGCTTCTTGTAATAGAGCTGAGCTAGTGTTAGCAATGGAGTTATCTGAGGTAAGAAAGTTGTATTTAACCAGCACATTAAACACTTACTGTTTACAAAAGGCATTTTATAAAGAATATCTATAAATATATTTATATTTTAAAATACCAGTAACAGTTGGCAATCTATATTGTAAATAAAATTAATCCTATCAAATTGTTAGCATTTTATTACAAGTAACTAGCTTATTTTTAATTGCTTTGCCATTCAAGATGGGATGAATATATCAAAGCATATAAATAATTTATGTGGAAATCATGAACAAACAC